GCGCGGGATCGGGCAGTGTTTCGTTCTGCTGTGCATGGGGTCGCTATGAGTCGGAAACGACTCGACGGCACTTAACTTAACAACAACAACAACATACAGAATAAAGAATGAAGTAAATCAAAGATGCATGGAAACAACTGGTCCAAGGGACTGGACTATGAGAATCTCAGCCTACATACCCCTGAGACCAAAACTAGATGGTGTCCAGCTACCACTCTTAACCACTTGGAAAGGGATCAGTATAGGAGATCCTGGCTAGAGTGGGAGGGAAACATGGAACAAAACTTACAATCATAAAAAAGACCAGGCTTACTGGTCTGATAGAGACTGGTGAAACCCCCAATACAATGGCCCCTAGTCACCCTTCAAGGCCTGGAACTGGACTCACTCCCATGGCTTCCAGCCAAACAACAGATAGGCATATAGAGTGAACATTTACACCAGGCAGGTATAGTCCTTAGCACAATCAAGCATGGGAGAGCAGGACAGTTTTTGCACAGGAAGATAGTTCAGAGGGCAGGAATGCCCAGAAAGGAGGACACAGGGAAAAGGGAGGAAGTGAGAAGAGAGCTATTATATTGTAGGGATTGCAATCAATGTCACGAAACAAAATGTGTATGAATCTTGAATGGAAAACAAATTTGCTCTGTAAACTTTCACCCAAATCACAATAAAAAATAAAATAAAATACTCTGGGAAAAAGAAAAAGACATAAAAATCAAAAGAAAGCAGTTAAGGACAAATGGAGGTTGATTGGGAGGCTCTAGTGTATAATTAATAGAAGTTTGCTCAAGAGTCTAGAGTGGGCGAATGCTGTAAATTTTACATATATATATATATATATATATATATAATATATAATTTGACATCAGCAACCAAAATTTTAAAAAGGATGCTGTTGCTGATACTACTTAGGCACAACTAAACACTTCATAGGATTAGTTCTCTTGGTTCAAAGATTTTTAGAATCATGGCTTTATGGGACTGCCAGGCACTTGGGGTAACACTGTTTTTAGAGTTTCTGGTCTACCCCTCAGTTCAGTGAGTAGTCCCTCCAGCCTTAAAAGCTTGAGAGTGAACATCCAAGATACCACAACTGGTCTCTATTCTCCTGCAGCATCAGTGAAAAAAGGATGTCTAGGAATCAGAGAAGGAATGAGAATGTAAATATAGTTGCCTCCATGAGCTACAGCCTCCTTATCATGAGATCAGAAGAACTGGATGGTGCCCAGTTACCATTACTGAGTATTTTGATCAAAGACTCAATAAATGAATCCTGACCAAAATGGGGCAAAAATGTGGACAGAATTTCAAATTTCTTATAGCCACTCCTTGGAAGGAAGGTTAGGCAATCTACTTCCACACTGATACCGCCTCGGAAACCCAAGGAGGGGTTGCTATGAGTTGTGTCCACATAACAACAACAGCAACAACAACACAGAACTCAGACTTTGGGACCCACTGAGGCCGGAGGAACCCTAAGTCTGTTATCCTGAGAAAATTTAACTCTGAACCAAAACTATCCCCTGAAGTCATCTTCAAACTAAACAACAGTGTAGCTGAATTAGTAAGGAATGTCTGCCTTGGGCACTGCATTCTTTTAGAAAATTATCTATATGAGATCAAACTGACAACACGTTTTAGTAACTCCACCAGCCACTCCTCAGAAGGAAGGTTGGGCAATGTACTTCTGTAGTGATAACGCCTCAGAAACCCAAGGAGGGGTCGCTATGAGTTGGGTCTGACTCAGTGGCACACAATAATGAGTCTAAGTTAATGGTGGTGAAATAACTTGGAGACAGTGACAATGGTAACATAATAGAAAGAATGTAACCAGTGTCACTCAACGGTGTATGTAGAAATTGTTGAACATTCACCAAAAATAAAATTTAAAAAAAAAAAAAGAGTGTAAAATACAGTTATTTCCAAATGTACAAAAACTAATAGCCACCCATGAACCTCCGTGTCTTTTAGCCAGAAAAGTCACCTGAGAGGGAAGGCACAGAATGGAAGATCAACATGAATACAAAAATTGAAACCCTATGTTGGGCACTTTCTATACTATTCAAATATCACAATTGTAATAGGTAAATTAAAAACTCTATAGACCACAATGACAAGGCAGGGGAGTAGCTGGAGCATGCTCAAGTTCTTGGTGACAGTAAATAATCTGCCCCACCTCCAAGGCACAGAACAGCCACCTTAGAGACAAGTCAGTAACCATGCATGAAACTTCCATTTCCATCTTCAAAGCAGATCTGAGATAATACACACTTGAAAAGCTAATGAGTAAACTACACTGTCTCTTCCTCTAGAGAATCTATGTTGGCCTTAACCCTTCAATATTACAGAAAATTCTGCTTCAAAATTTCTCTTCAGAGGAAGGAAATAGTAATGCCAGTTGTAAAATTAGTTGAAGACCTCTCTGTGAATTCAGGTAAAAATCAAAATGTGAATGAAAGTAAAGTCAACCACTGTACTTGCCTTGTTCACATCTTTCTTACTAAGTAAAATCACAGTGAAGCAAATCCCAGAGCCATGTTTTAAGGAACTCTAGATTGGTCCTCTTGCCAATAACCTCATTTCCAAGAGAAAAAGACCTAGAGGCAAGTTCTCGCTTCTAAAGAAGTTTTTTGTTTGTTTCCTTTTGTAAATCAACACTTTAGGTAACTTGATACACATCAAATCATAATCCTACATCTGGAAAAAATATTAGTATTGAGTAAGTACAATGAACGTGTATAATCTGCCTTATCTAACTGCTATCACTTAATGGGAAAAACTGCCTCTGCCTTGGATGCTGCCACCATAATACTAAGTGTGGGCGTTTAAGTTAAACTATAAAAATCATTCATCCTCACTCTTTGTAATACAAGTAAGTTGGCTTATATCTTTAGAGCACATTTTTGGAGATAAGATTAAGCCTTCAACATTCTCAAACTACAGCAAGCACCTGGTTGGTTTTAAAATGTAAATAGCAATGCACGCTTCCTTCCTGCAGTTAATCCCAGCAGGTGACATGGGGTGGGGTGGGGGGCTGTCCTAAAACCAAGGACTCAGCAATTTGGCCAGCAGGATCCCTCTCCCTTCCTCTCATGTGAAAAGCATTTGGTTTTCAAATGCCTTAACCTTCACTGAAAACACAAGTATTAAAGCTAATTCTATGTTGATTCAATATAGAAACAACTTTAAAGTGATTTAAGAAAGGAAGACAGAGAATATGATTACCGGAAGAGTAAAGAAAGCAGGGTGCTTTGCTTCGTCTTCATATTTGCCTTCTGTTGAACTTCCAGCCTCCATTGACTTGGATGTGGTGTTCTTACCAATACCCATCATTAAGAGAAAACAGGTGGTTTTGCACGGTCGTTGGACTGAGGTGGCTGGAAGTGAAGGCCTATTCAAGAGAGGAGCCCTGGAGTCAGAGTTGGCTCTTCCGGGAGCAGCCGATTCTCAGGCCAGGTTGAGCCCCCCAAGCGCCATCTCTCAGCACCTGAAAAAAGAGAGTACAGCCAAATTACCTCAAAGTATACAAACAACACAGAACACACACACAGGCATCGCAGTTCCTATACAGAAGTCCTATTTCAAGTTATACTCCAAACACCCCAAAACAAACTATTTCATTTCACTTTTTATGTGTGCACTCCATTTACAGTCACCCCCTGATTCTGAACTGCTCCTAGAAGAGGGGATCACTAATGGGATCGTGGAAAATAACAGAACATCAGGGAGAATCAAAACAGCAAAGGTATTTCTTTGAAATGCGTAGGGTATATTCTGATAGTCCAACACTATGTGGCTAAAAGCACTTGACTGCTAACCAGAAGGCTGGCGGTTCAAACCCACCAGCCACTCCTTGGAAGGAAGGTTGGGCATTCCTACTTCCGTAGTTATACTGCCTCGGAAACCCAAGGAGGGGTTGCTATGAGTCGGGGCCGACTCGACGGCACATAACAACAACAACAACAACATCCAGCAGAACTTTCTGCGATGATGAAAATGTTCTACATCAGCACAGTCCCAACAGGGTTGTCACTAGCCCTGTGTGGCTACTGAGCACTTGAAATGTAGGCAGGAGAAAGGGGAGGAGACAATGGATGCCGAGAAAGAAACGTACCCTTGGAAAGCGGGCTGTAAAAAAGTCCCAAAATGACAAGACTACTCCACAGCCAAGTCTACAAGGTTGAGACGAAGAAAGGCTCAAGGCTAGAAACTGAGTACCAGCCGGAGATCAGAGTGTTTCACCCCTAGAGGCTGGCCTTGCTGTGAGTAAATGCCAAGGCCCAGAGGCAAAAAATGCAAAAGATAAAAGGGAAGGGCGGAGTTAAGTTTAGGGTCTGTGTTAGAATTTGTGTTAAAACCAAAAGCAAAATCCCTAGAAAATCTGATCCTGGGATAAGTTTGCCAGCCCCTGGCCCTAAGCCCCCTCTCCCTTTGTTGCTGGTTGCCATGTTGTCAACTCCAATTTATGGAGACCACATGTGTGCACAGTAGAAACTGCTCCATCGGTTTTCAAAGCTGTGACCTTTTGAAAGCAGATCCCACCCAGAGGGACCGAGTAGTTGATCCTGCGGGCTTGGGACCATAGTCGCAGGGGACATCAAGCTCAATTGGCATAACATACTATACAAAACATTGTTCTACCTACTACTTTGGCGAGTAGCCACTGGGACCTTAAAAGCTAGGAAGCTGCCATCTAGATGCAACAACGGGTCTCTCCTCGTCAAGAAGAAAGAAGAAAACCAAAATTAATGGAAACAATCAGTCCTAGCAACTGGTACACCATCCGATCTGCAACCTATACAACTATGAGAGCAGAAGAACTAGATGGTGCCCAGCTACCACTGCCATCCACTTGGAAGGGATGTAGGAGTCCTGCATAAAGAGGGAGAACAATGTGGTACAAAACTCAAAATCATTTGGAGGCAAAAAAAAAAAGGTGGGGACCAGGTTTGCTGGTCCAATAGAGCCTGGTGTAACCACTGAGACTATGGCCCCTAGCTGCCCTTCAGGTCTGGAATTGAACCCACAACTGTGGTTTCCAGCCAAACAAAGTACAGGCATGTGAGTTAAACATTTACCTCAAGTAGACACACGCCCTGGAGAGAACAATCATGGGAGAAGGAAGGGCTGCTTATGCACAGGGAGACAGCTCAGGGTGCAGAAGAGTATGAAGGGATGGACACAAGTGCGAGGGGAGCTGCTGCATTGTAAATTTTGGTCAATGACATGAGACAAAGTATATGTGAACTGCTGTATGAAAAGTGAATTTACTCTGTAAATCTTCACCCAAATCCTAATTTAAAAAAAAAAAAAAAGAAAGCAGATCCCCATGCCTGTCTTCTAAAGTGCCTCTGAGGGGGTTTGAACTGCCAATCTATCAGAGCTAGCAGTGGAGCACTGAACAGTTTGACAACTCAGGGCTGACTCCTCTCTCCCTCCCCTCTGCAAAGAGAGACAGAAGACAAGTAATGCAAGCTCATTCACTATCCTTATGCTTAAAACATTTTTTAAATGAACTGAAAAAGTAAACTTGTCCATTTTATCCAAGTTTCAAAGTCACCAATACAGCCCAGTAGGCAAGACATTAAAAGGCCTCAAAGGAAATATTTGGCTTTAAATTCTGTATAACCCATAATTTTTAGGAAGGTAAAGAAGTGATCCTAGGTCCCTGTGCTCTGACAACGTGACAAAGGAAAGAAAGGGCTGAGGGATGGAAGAGCATGTTTCACAAATGATGAAAAGGATGAGGATGACAGTCAAGAGTAACAGCCGTAGTTTCCCAGTGATGGCTGAGGGCCAGGCCCATCTCTGACCTCTCATTATGTTGTGCCTTCAAGTAGGACCCGACTCATAGCGACCCCCCCTTGGGTTTCCGAGGCAGTATCACTACAGAAGTAGGATTGCCCAACCTTCCTTCCAAGGAGTGGCTGGTGGGTTTGAACCACCAGCCTTCTGGTTAGCAGTCAAGTGCCTTAGGCACTATGCTACCAGAGCTCCTTATTCCTCACTAATAAGCATAATTTATCACTGATTCCCACACCAACCCTGCAAAAGTGGAAACTAAGCTTCAGAGAAGTTAAGTAACTTGCCGAAGGACACACCGCTTTAAGAGGTGGAGCAGGGTTCAAACCTGAATCAGAGTTTCAAGCCCGCCCTAACTCCTGAAATGAATACGGCTGGCCTTCAAGCTCAGTCTCCACATGGCTCTTGCTGTGTGGTTTCTGTCCTCCTTGTGATTTCTGAGGAAGTGCTGAGCTCCCTGACCAGGGGTAACACCCACCACACTCATGGAAACTCCCAAATCTATGCAACTCTGTCTACTCCACAGCAGGGAGTCACCATCATCCTCATCATTACACCACAGCCACCTCTTGACTCATTTCTTGTTCCACCCAGGATCATTCAACAGAAACTATTAAGCTCTTTGATGGACTCCTAATTGGCCTTACAATGACATCCAGATTCCTCAATAAGGCTGAAAAGGTTAAATGCAAAACCTACCGCACCCTCCCTTCTCATTCTTTCTAAACTTCTACTGCGCTGTCCACTCCTCAGAAGGAAGGTTGGGCAATCCTACTACCAGCCACTCCTCGGAAGGAAGGTTGGGCAATCCTACTTCCGTAGTGATACTGCCTCGGAAACCCAAGGAGGGGTCGCTATGAGTCGGGGCCGACTCAACGGCACATAACAACAACAACAATAACAACTTCCGTAGTGATACTGCCTCGGAAACCCAAGAAGGGGTCGCTATGAATCAGGGCCGACTCGACGGCATATAACAACAACAACAACAACTGTGCTGTCATTTTCACTTCCTTGAAGGTACTGAGCCCTCTTCTAACCCCCAGGTCTTTGTATATGCTGTTCCTCCAATAAACATTCTTCCCCTCACCCTCTTCCACGCTTCCTCCAGATCACCACCCTCATGCCATGTCTGAGACCATGAAGACGGTGGCAATACACTAAGATAATGTCTGCCTGTATGTCCCCAACTAGACTACTGCAGGGACTAGAGTAAGCTCACCACTGGGTCCCTGGCATCTGGTGCTGGCACATGCATCAAAGCCTGCCCAGTACTTGTGGAATGAATAAATAATATGAGAAGAAAAGGCACCTGATATAATGTGGCCGTCATGTTTCCTTTTAAAACTCTTATGAAATTGGGGGAAATTTGCTTTCCCTTGACCTGAAGAGTATCAATCAGAAATTAACAGTGAACATCAAACGTAACCGATAAAACAGACACGTCAATGTCAGGGACAAGTCAGGGGTATCAACGTCACTGCTAACTTTCATCACTGACAGAAGAAAGAGAGCAAAGTATCTGAAAGAAAGACCAGCTTATAATTATACCAAAAGACAGGAAATTCCGAGAGGTCCAAAACACAAACTAGTGGAATGTGGACATTTTCCTGTCCAGACCATCTCTGGACTTTGCATAATTTCAACAATCTTAATCTTACTTCTACAAAGTATGAGTCTTTACACTAGGACAATACTTAAGAATAAATTTAACAAAAAATGTACGTGACCTTTATGAAGAAAATTATCAATTGTTACTGAGGAACATTAAAAAAAGATTTGAATAACCAGAGAAACAGACTATATTCCTGGATGGGACAGCCATTATTAAGGATACTCATGTTCCCACAAACATGATCTGTATAAATATAATAAATATCAATGAACTGACTTTGATTGATGCTAAAAATTCTTCTGGAAGACTAATAAAAAATAGTTTCTCCAAAAAATATATTCATAATTATTTGAAAAGAGAGAAAGTAACAGCAGTATGCTTGCAAGATACAAATCCTAGCCAATGCAGGAATCTGTATTGAGTATGTCAATACAGAACAAAAACAAACAGATCAGAAAACAGAAAAACCAACCAGATGAATATATGGCTATGCAGTATGGTGGCACTTCAAATCACTGGATAACATATGGATTATTGAATACAAGATCAAGATGGTTTGTTCACCGTTAAGTGGTTTTTTTTTGTTTTGTTTTGTCTTCAGAAAAAGTAAGTCCTAGGAGTACAAAAAAAAAAAAAAAAAGACATGAAATGATTGTATAATTATAGGGTAGGGATGCCTTCCATAGCATATCATTAAAAATGAAAAAGAGAGAGGCTGATAATTTTACAATATAGAATATATAATTTTCTATATGGAGAAAAATCACACCGATGAAATTAAAAGGCACAATAGACATAAGAGAATGTGTTGCTATTTCAACTCTTTGAAGAACACTTACAAATCAATAAACAGAAGACAAAATCCTCATATAAAAATGAGCTTCTAATCTTCCCAATACAAATGGCAAATAAATGTTCTATCTTGTTTGAAACAAAAAAAAAGTGAATTGAAATGAGGGACCATTTTTCATCTATGTCAATTATTTTTAACACCTTTATTTGTAACGGGGTGATGAAACAGGCAAAATCATAAACTCAAAATACAAATCTGCTATGTCAAAGCAACTTGGTTAT